TACCGGAAATGTACAACCCCACATCCGGTCTCAAACCAGGAAGTTAGCATTTTCTCGTGCACAGGGTCAATTCAGGGTCTGCAGCCTTAAAGGCCGCATTTTAAGGCCAATTACGTCACAGCGACGCGACAAAGGCTGCTCGAAATGCAGCCCTCAAATGCGTCCTTCATTTCCCTGAATTTTAAGGACGTGGCGGTGTAGACTTCGTGGCCCAACATATCCCAGAATGCATAGCGCGGCGGTGGGTGTGGATAATTTTGCCGAAAGAAAACGGCGGATGAGGGGCGCCGAAGAGTAAACTTTAAATAAGTACTGAATATTATGTCACTTATTTATGTGCAAATGTTTAATAATGAAGAACATTAAAACATTACTGTTGGCCACATGTCGGCAAAGTTATGTGACATTAGTGACGTTTGTACTAACTTGGTTTTAAAGCCTTTACTTTAAGCTCAGCTATTGAACGGCTTATATTTTAATCTTACAGAGAATGATCAAAGCTCATGTAGAAACAAACAAATGAACAAAGGATTTTCTCCTTCATTTCTGTCAAACAAAGCTGTATGAAACATTTCCAGCTGTTAGTATCATGGTTGCTAGGCAACCTGGGCAGCGCGACGGAGGCTAGACCGTCCCATTTCACAAGCCTCGCACTTCCGGCCTTTGAGTACGCGGCCCTTGAGGACCGTTGAGGCTGCAGACCCTGAATTGAGATACAGCCAGTGGGAAGTAAAAAGCCAACAGGAAGAAACGTCCAGCAGAAGCAGGCTCGGGGAGAGGCGACCATCTGCTGCAACCACAAGGGGATGAGTGGAAGGAAAGGGCAAAAGGCATAATGTGGTTTAGAGAGACCGTTTAGATATCTGATAACAAAGGGTCACCTGATCGAGCCCAAAACTAAAATGTTTGAAATTTTTAAGCTTTGAATGAAAAGTAGAGAGAGTCCGCCTTCTGAATCCAAACTGGCAGCTGGTTGCACAGGAGTGAGGCCTGAAAGCTGAAGGCTCTGCCTCCCAGTCTGACAACCACAAGGAAGCCAGCAGTCTGACTGCAAAGCGCTCTGTTGGGCTGATATGGTAAGGTGTAAGATATAACAGACTGCTGCGTTACTCATTTTAACTGTTCTTCAGATATTTTCATTTCAAATATAAAGTCACCAAAACTGAAAGTGAAGGATAATTTACTCATTTGTTATTATGTAACTCCAGAGGCCTGTGAAAGGAGCAGCAGAGGCAGCACATGTGGAATAGGGCTGCCACAAACTATTATTTTGATAGTCGACTAGTCACCGATTAATTTTGCAATTAGTCACTAATCAGATCATCATCCATTGGACGTAAAACGTACAGCTTATTGCACCAGCAGCATCTGCTCTTATATAACTAT